GCTCCTCGGCCGCATGCTCCCGAGACCATATCCTCGGTGCGGCCAGCCCGCCCGAGACGTGCCCCTCGGCCGCATGTTCCCGAGACCTCCTCGGCGCGGCCAGCCCGCCCGAGACGTGCTCCTCGGCCGCATGCTCCCGAGACCACATCCTCGGTGCGGCCAGCCCGCCCGAGACGTGCTCCTCGGCCATATGTTCCCGAGACGTGCCCCTCGGCAGCATGCTCCCGAGACACATTCCCCGACCTCATGCCGCACTAAGCACCTACGCAGCGTGGCCTACTTGCCCCGGACTTGTGCCTCAATCGTGAACCACGAAGAACACCGCCGCTTACCGATCAAAGCCACGCCTCGAATCCCCACCGTCCGGTGCCGAGCCATGGCTTCCTTTGGGGGGGGGATATGATATGGCAAAAAATGGTAAACCCCACTCCCGGCAACGCCCCCCGCACGTGGACAGGCGCGACGCCCCAGGGAGAGCAACGAGGGCAACGGTCTGCGTTCGAACGTCAGCCTCACTGAGCCCGCAGCCCCTCAGTCAACCCAGCACAGTAGGACGAGACAGAAGTAGGTAGCGGTTGAAGCTCGCCCATACCCTGCGATTCCCCGATCCCATACGCAACATCCTCGGCGATGTCGGACGCCATCAGAGATACGGCCCCGACCGACGGGATGGCGCGCCCGATAATGCCGAGTTCCCCTATAAACGTCCTGGAGCCAGAGGGAGGAGGGCAGACTGGACGCCCAGAACAACCGCCACTTCAACTCTCTAACTTGATCGTCGGAGGGGTCGGGTCGAACCGACCCGACCTTTGTGCAGGTATCAAGCCGAGGTCTCCCGTTCGGGACACGCAGGCAAGGAGTCACCGCCCGGAGGAAGTCGCTGCATCGCCCCGAGTCCGAGGCCGCGCCCGACCACCCCGGTGGAGACGAGCATCGCCCCAGGGAGATCCCCGCCATTCGGACCCCCGAACGAGCCGAGACGACCTCCAGGGTCACGGCTAAGAAGAAAAGGTGTTTACACTAACAACATCTATGTATGAACTGGAAGCCGAACGATCTTTAGTGGCCGAGCTGTCCCTGCTGTGGCCCGATACAGGAAAAGGATGGATCTAAAAAGAAGTGTCACGGCGAGTTCCCAAAAGAGGAAGGACAAAGGAACAGCATGCACCCAAGGAAACGTTACGAGACACGAGCAGGCAGAGTATGGCTGTAAAGCACATGCATCAGCGTATCGGCACATGCCTCGACTCAAAGATCCATACGGTCAGGCCTGAACTGTAAAGACATGACTCATGACAAACAATCTTGCCATTTGAAGGCATCAACAAAGAGCCAGCACTCGAGTCTTGAAATCTTGCCCCATTAGGGTTAATATATATCAGTACAAAGAGTTTGTTCTGAACAAGTACAGGGATGACATTATTAGATAAAATACACAGTACAAATGTTCTATATATCATGCCGTATCACCATAAATAACGACAATAAACATACCCCAAAAGAACGGAAAATACAAGCAACTAACAGAATATTTTAACGAGTCTTCATTTCCACATATCAGGGGATGCCTGACTTATTGTGATGAATCAATATATGAAGTTCAACTCCAATAATACATGAACAAAGACAACTCTTCCTCCACCATTTCATCCAATTACTAAAGAACAAAACCTGCAACTGCTTATCTTGCACAAACAAGAAACACAAGGCTGTACCAGCCTCCCAATTCTGTAATAGGAGTCCACAGCCAGAGTAGCATACAAGGGAATAAAATTCTAGCACGCCATCTTTTAATCTATACATCAAAGCAGAACACCGCCATGTACACAGATGCAAAGGCCGTCTGCTTTCCTGTGTGATAACAATGACGATGAGTGAGCTGCTGCAACCCATGAATTTTTCAATGCTTAATCATGATCCAGTGCTTAGTTGCAGTCTAATCCACACTCCTCCAAGAGAGGGCCATCTGATTTTGGCAGGAATGGATCAATCCGTACCCACAGTAGAGAGAAAATTGAAGCAAGGAGAATGGACCACACAATGACAATGGTAGGAGTCCGATTCTGCCGACCAACAAGACCCTTGAGGAAAGGATACAGGTGCACGATCACCCAAAAGGAAAAAAATAGTTTCCCGAACAAAGGTCCCCAAGATTCATATCCATTGTTTATTGCATTAGAGACACCCGCTACCACACCAATGAAGTTCACAATAAGCAAAGTCGTAGGAGGAATGAGCAACGTCGTCCATTTGAATGTGTATAACTCGGAGAACTCATCATCATCACCAGCCTTCGTTGTCACAGTGAAGTTGGTGTCTATACCTGCAAGGACCTTCAAAAGCCCCTGAAACACAGCAAACAGATGTGAGGAAACACCTCCAATAACCCAAAACTGCTCATTTCTCCACCAGTCATCAATGCCAACACCACTCCATCTCATTTCCAGGATGCTTGTTGCAAAGATACAGATGAAAAGCGACAGGAACCAAAGACTTGCGACATTGCTAAGCTGCAGTTAAAAAAAGTCATTATTAGCATCAAGAAATAAAAGATCAAAGGAATCCATTTGAAATTTAAAAAGAGAAAATGACATCACACCTCTGGGGTGATAAACTTTCCCGTGAGCAAGCAGACAGCAGGCAAGGTGCAGTAGGCCAAAAGAGGAATTGATGTCCAAGGATAAACCGTAGCATTAATGTATGACATCCTTTCCAACCATTTAAGTCCACCTCCATATCCATACCAGAGAGGACAGTGTTTGCTCAAGAAAATTTCCACAGACCCAAGAGCCCACCTAAGGACCTGGTGAAGACGATCTGAGAGATTGAGGGGTGCAGAACCTTTGAATGCAGGCCTTGTTGGTACACAATATATGGACCTCCACCCATGGCAATGCATTTTGAAACCTGTCAATATATCTTCTGTCACTGAGCCATAGATCCACCCAATCTGTGATGAAAACATAGCAAATTAGGAAGATACCTTAAGTGCAACACATAAAAAATTTCAAGACCAAAAGAATTACCTCTTTTCCCCAGTCTGTCTTATCTTCATAGCCACAGCTAATAACATGGATAGCTTCCTTTAGTAAGGATGCCGGAGTAGCACCTTTTAGTATTCCACCATTCTCGAGGAGAGTAGATGCAACAAAAACAGGTGACTGTCCAAATTTCTTTTCTAACTTCTGTTCAGACATCAGATTTGGTTTTTCACTCTCATTTCCTGTGAACATACTAAAAGGTTAAGATATTGAAATTGTATGATAACACAAAGATTGGAACAATTCTAATGTATTTCTAAATAGCCCTGTATTTGTGCCTTTCCATGAACTAGTGTTGCCTAACAGAGAGTAGTGAATGGTTATAATCTAGTTTTAAAAGAACATGACAGTTAGCAAAATATATAAAGGCCAAAGCATTTCAATGAATGCAAACTAGGCAATAGTGTTGCACCTTATTCCTGAGCATTATGACCTACCTGTTATATAGCAAGAAAGTATATAGTAGCTACTTAGCAAACACTAGGTAACCTGTGGTAACATATTTCATATAGTTCTACAAAAAGTTAAAAAGTTCCAAACAGAATGAAAAAATCCAGATACAAGCCAATGCCTGAGTGCTAACACACTGGGGTAGACTTTCAAGATGATTTGAGCATCAAGTTCTCTCAAAACTATACTCGGGCAGACTAAATGGAATCATGTCCTATCTCAATGTTCATGTTCATATGGTTATTACAACTACAAGACATAACAAGATGAACCAACAACATGACAGTGACAGGCATAGGCATACCTTGCTTGCCCTCTTCAATGCCCTCCAGTGCAAATACTGGTGCTCCAGAGTCACCTCTCCTGGAACTATTCTTCTTCTTTTCCTGCTTAGCTTTTTCATTTTTCTTCTTCCTCCTACCAGAACAACAGCATCCACAGCAGCACCACTTAGGCCAGCAATTGCACGTCCTAGTTGGTGGCTTCTTTGATTTTGGAGCATCATATCCATAGAGTGCCTGTCTTCTAAAAGCACATCCAGTGCCTACATAAATAGGTCCTTGAATCCCATCCAGACCTTTCATATTGATCTGCATCAAGTCTTTATTTTACTTCTCTATGCATACTAGGTAATATGAACTTATAAACAAGGAAACTGTGCAAAAGATTCAAAAGTGTAACCAAGGAATGTGAATATACACTTACATCAAAAAACACTATGTTTCGATTAGCATAGCGATCATGTCGATCAATACCATCAAACCTCTGAGGGAACTGCACATAGCACACTCTCTTTCCTACAAGTGGATCCATCATGAAGCACATTGCCTCTCGTATAGCTTTGCTATTATTGAAGTAGTGGTCACAATCCACATTCAACAAGTAAGGTGCATTTGTTAGGACAGCAGAGACCCTAACCTGCCAAAAGCAATAGAATCAAATGAGTAAACCTAAAGCCACTGTTACACAAAGGCAGAATAATCGATCTATGGGACAGCTTGTTACCAAAGCATTCATAGCACCAGCTTTTTTGTGATGATTGAATCCTGGCCTCTTTTCTCTAGAGACATAAACCAACCGTGGCAATTCATTCCCTTCCACATCATGCCCACCACTTTGCCCCAAAAAGACCTAAAAATTTATATCAGCAGAAAATCTATCGATTGCATTGGCAAAAAGCTGTTTGTTACCACAGCAGCAAACAAAAGACTATAAGGGACAGAAGATTCACCTGAATCATGCCTGGATGGTCACGGACATTATTTCCAGGCCATGGTGTTCCATCCTGCATTGTCCACCCTTCTTCTGGTACCTTTTGTGCTTTTGCAACCAAGGCATTGATTCGTACTTTGAATTCCTCATATTCTCTCTGCAAACAGAATCAAATTCAGAAAAAAATTATTTACATACACATTTTATCAAGAAGATATATGTATAAGTTTTCGTACTTTCATTGCTCTTCGTTCCTTAATAAACGAAGGGTGGACCTTATCCTTTAAATAATCCATCTTTTGCTGAAAATACCACTCTGGTGCACGGGGCTCAATATTGAATTTCTTACAGAAAGGAACCCATTTCTTTGCAAATTCGGATGTTTCTGACAATGCTTCAAATGTCAGCATAGCAGCGCCATCATCAGATACATAGCAAGATACTTTTTCAACAGGGTAATCCACAGCAAGGATTGAGAGAACAGTGTTTGCAGTGATTAAAGGGGGTTCCTTCATAGGATCAACTGTACTCACAAAGATGTCTATCAGAGATAGCTGAGAAGGCTGCCCTTCTTTTTCATACCTAGGAAAAAAAAAAGAACAATTAGGCAGATAAATGAGTGATAAGGTGAACAAGTTTACCATATTAGCAACCACAACTACCTCAATGACAATCTGTCGAGATAAGTTTCCCTTTCAATTGGAAGCCACTTGGGAAACTGATCAAGAATCCATGAAAGAGCAAACCAAATTTCGCAGATGACGGATATGAGCCACAATGGATATGCATCAGATGCAGGGTTTGTGATTCGGTAATGGAAGAAGAACCCAACAACTACAAGACGAATTATGATGATCATTCTGTATGGGTTTATTTGGCTAGAAGAAATGGGCAACTTTCTGGACAACGGTTGTCTCGCTTCATCCATTCTATAGAACACAAATTCAATGACAAGTTACAGTTTCTTACAAAGAAGTCAAATGCTGTGACTACAAAACATGAGAATTTATTTTGTTTCAATACAAGAATAAATGAAATACAAGCAGAATACAGTCTTTGATATCCACCTTGGCCTCATTGGAAAGAAAAAAAACAAAGCAATATCTGAAAACGACATTTTCCTAAATTTCACATTATAGACCAATAAATTTTGTGTAACAATGTTGAACTTAACAATATCCTGAATTCATGATTCAGTAACTCAAAAAAAAGAAAAAAACCTCAATATGATAGCTATGATCAATAGGCCTTGTCAAAGAGATACGAAGTTGAAAAATTTTTGCTTGCCTAATTTCTAGTTATGCTATATTGTTGTCATAACTCATTCAGAGATAACAGCCAGAGTAATCCATTTTTTTTAATAACTATAAACAACAGGACTTTGTGGAAAGAAAATTGTTCTTGCACTTATTTGGCAACTAGTTTCTAGTCACAGCTTCCTTGCTCAAACTGATAAAGGAATGCCCATCAATTTCAATGTTAAAATAAATGACCATTAAATGGAACAAAAATCTATACCTGTCTGTTATAATGCTAATTATACTGATTGGTCAGCCTCAAGTTTTGTGTGGTAGCAGGATGCAGCTTAGCCAGACATTCTGTCAGCACTTTCATTTGAAAAACAGTTCTAAAACAACAGTAGAACTATTTGAAGATGTATTTTTGTTAAAACATAAAATTGAAAAGGGAATCTTGAGTATAAACACACAATATCAGACTTGTAAACTGGAGTAAACCGTTGTCCAAATGTTACTGAAGTATGATTTTTAAGGACGATTGACATTCAACAGGATTTGGAGCTTACAATGGTAAATCAGGTTCATCACCGTCGTTATTCCAACCCTTGTCACCACCATTATTCCTGGTCATGTGCATTTTCTCTTGTTTCTGCTTCCAATTTTCCATTCGTTCCTTCCAGGCCACACTTCCATATCCATAAGCGGCAAGATCCTTAGAAGGATCCATTGATCTAGGATGAACTGCAAGGCAACAGTTTTCCATTAATTTCCTGATGAAACAGAAAACCTGCTGGGTCAGTATTATGATTGCTCAACCTTATTCAAGTTGAAGATCCTAGTCGTGGTGCAGAAATTTGGGTACCTGGAATATTGGGATCTGGAAAGGGAAGCGGATGAATTCTTTTCCCTCCACCACCAATGAAAGAAGGAACAAGCGCATGCTGATCTGGAGGAATATCGTCAACCTGGAAGAGGAATGAACTTCACCCATCATAATAGAAGGGTTCTATTGGGTGCAAAGTACTGGCAGCAAAATGTGAGTTCAATTACCATCTCGCCATTGGTGAGAAGTGGAACTTGAGGCACAGCATGAGCCACATGAGGTGTATTGATATCAACCCGGCGGCCATAGCTCCCGTGGCCCTGCAGCATGACCTCCGCCATGTACTTTGGGTCCTGCTGATCTCCCCCAACAAAGTTGAACTCGTTCTCAAGATCATCGACATCATCCTCTTCTTCGTCACCAGCCACACGAGGGCACCCTGCAAGAGAGGATGACAAAATTCTACAATATGAAACAACAAGGATTAAAGGCCAGAGAGATCTGCGACAAGAGAAAGAGAAGGGATGAAATTATATTAGGGTTTGTTGCAAGCAATGCAGATTACATTGATCTACTACAAGGGCTACTACAAGGAAACTAGAAGATACGAAGTGTACTAGGGTCCAACAAAAGGACAGTGGACTAGAGAGATCTACTGCAAGGTAATCATAGGTGTTTGTTTGTATTGCTAATAATACTAAATGCTCAACCCAATTTTCACAGGAAGTGAACCAAATCTTAAAAATTATAAGGAGGTTCAAATAGCAGAAAGCCTGAATAACAAATCATCAAAATCAATTACGACCATGAAAATAAGAACCCGTGGATAATTATACTGGAAAAACACGGGGCGAGAAAATTAAAGGTAGATCTACCACAATTGAAGCAGGGAGGAGGAATTGAGGGCGTAGTATCTTAGTATTTTTACCCTTGAGCCGCTTGAACCTGGTCTTGCACTGGGGGCAAACCTGATTGCCCTCCCGGCGCTCGTACTCGTAGCAAGTCCTGCAAATGGGGAAGGCGCACTCGTTGCAGGCGACGAAGAGATCTCCATCGACGGTGAGTCCGACGTCATCACCGCAGATCTGGCATATTTGCCCGCTCAGCTGCTGCAGCGGCTTCGGCTGCAGGCAAGAATCGAGTCACAAAACCTCCACACGAACGTTAAAACGGAACGCCTGATGGGATGAAAGAAACGGAGGAAGAGGCTGTAGAGGATACCCCCAATTCTCCATCGCGGCGGATGACCACGAGCTCGTTCCGGTTGTGAGAGCCGGCCACCAAACCAGCGCTCGCCTCCATGCGCCTGTTGGTGATATTCTATCTATTCTTGGAAAAGAACAAGTCAGCAAGCAATTCGACTCAATTCAAGCGGCGAGATCTCATCCCTTCCCTCCCTCTCTACTCTGGTGCGTAGTAGAGCGGACGGGGAGGAACGGAAGCCTCTCTTTCTCTTACTTCCTAAAGAAGGTGATGCCAGCGAGTCCGCTACCTGCCCCACTTCTTCTCACTCCCACTTATTATTCCTTGCTTGTTTACGATGCCCACCTGGACTGATTTTTTTTCCTTGGTTGGTTCTGTAAAATAGGGCTGGAAAGGGCAAAAAAAAAAAAGAACAATCTCCGTCTGCCCTCGGCTGGAGGAATGAATGCATCAATCGGAAGGGGAGCCTGGAAGAGCGAAGCAGGCGATCGGGGTGGTTGATTAATGAACGAGAAAGACCAACAACCAGCACAGTTGGGAAAGCAACGTCTGAGCTGTCTCTGATGATCAAGATCAAGCGGCTTTGCAAAACGTAGACCCCGCCCTTTATCCTCTTATCAATTTCTTTTATTTCTAAATTTTCTCAATCGGTTTCCCCTCTTTCTGTGCCTTATGGTCCATCATCTTGTCTCACCTGCCCTTTCTTCATTCATTTTTGCCTTTTTCTTTTGTATTGACCGGTCTGCCGACACAGCTGGTAAAAAAACATAACCTATAACTATGAAAGAGCTGCGACATGGGAGTGACCAAGAAATTTGCTCCAACCGAATGCAAGAGACGGCGATGGAAAAAAATAGTAAATAGAAGAAGATGAGAGTATGATTTAGGGATTGCACAAAATGACGACAGCGAAAATAGAGCAGGGTAGTGATCGAACAGGGAGGGAGAAGCGACAAGGAGGGTAACAGTCCGAGCTTCGGTTGATCCGTGGAGTAGCGACTAGCATCAGCTTGAGTTCGCAGAGCTGACATATTCAATCACATCGAGTTAAGTCAAAGCTCTTCAGATTAAAATTCACCTTCATTATTTACATTGAAAAAAAATATATCTATCAATTTAACATAGTTGTCGTGTTATACTCAAGTAAGTAAGATTCAACATTTGAGACATCATCAAATAAATTTATAATCAAAATATTGATATGATGAATGTCAAACTCACCTATGAAGGATTGTTCTAATAAATTTTGAAGATATCCTCTAATTTAAATATTAAAAATTTTGATAATTAACAATAACGTTTGGAATTAAATCTCATCCTCATGATTTATCATTCAAAAAAAAAAATCTGATGGATCATGGTAATTAGACGAGGAATCAAAAGTAGTTGAAAGCTTAAAAATTGGGCTTGTGGAATTGATTACATAATTAATAGAAATGTTTTTTACTATCACATAAGAAGACCATGGGGAACCAAAACACACAAGTTAGTCGAAGCCAGACATCAGATCAGTCTCATCGTCTCTCCCACTCGTAATAATGTAAAAATGTTTTTACAAAGGCTGTGGTGTCTTTTTAGGTGTTTAAATTGCCGTCAACAACATAGGTCGACCGACTAATATGATTGTCCAAATCTACAATTACATGTTTCGGATAGTTTTTAAGTTCTTTATTCCTAAGAATTGTATAATAGTAATCATACCGTTGGACAATCAACATTGGGAACCTTTTGGTGGCATAAAGACAAGTGCATGGTTGGTGGCAAGTCTCGGTTCTCGGCTACATTAGGAGAGAGAGAATCTAGAATTAAAAGTTCTCCTGTAGTGGTGACTGTACTGGTAAGTAACATGTGATTCTTTTCCTCGTGGTCGTAAATGAGTTAAAAGATAAAGGACTTGACGAAATATTAAACGGCGTAACGTTAGCACGTCGTCTGGGTAGACTAAATAGTTCTCGTGAAGTTCGCCTATCTTTTTCCCAGCTCTGTTTGACGACGACTTTTCAACTATATTAAAAAGCTTCATGTCGCTACTTGAGCCACGGAAGATGGTGATGCGCCAAATTCGACTGTTGGCACCTAAGTCGAATCGGTGCGCACTCTATATTAGTAATAATAATAAATAAATAAATAATTTATCACTGGGATACAGAACTGTTACCCAATCGTTAATTGCTAGTCCAGGAAATAACGTCTCAGCGACCGAGTTGGATGACAAACAAGAATGGTGTCCAACGCACCACATCCCTCGATCAATCGTTTCGGAAAGAGACAAGCACAATAATTTTCTTACCGTTTATGGTCCACCCGACTCGCCTACATGTGCCATGACTGACGTAGCAGTGCGGCCATTTGGATCCACTTCTCTCTTTCCCTCACATATCAATATAGGAGCCTCCGTAAATCCGAACATACTATTTGTCAAAATGATAACCAATTTATTAATTAATTCAAAATAAAATATTTAAATTTAAATTAATAATAATAATAAATATATTCATTAAATTATTATTAATTAATTATTATAAGTAATCGAAGGTCATACAATCTCCTGCATTCTTCTTGTTCTTTCTCGTGTGTTGATAAATCAAGAATAATTGTTTTTGTAAAATCAAACATGACTACTGATCTAATTAATAGAATGCGATTTTTAATTTATTAATTTGATAGATGATATGATTATTATTCTTGATTAATTAGGACTCGTTACATGAGGTCTTATTAGGATATGCCCTATTAGGTATCGATGAAAACTAGCCAATTAGATATGCCACATCTGATATAAAATGATATATTTCTTCTTTAAATTGATGGTTACAAAAATGATACTATATTAAACAGTCTTCTATGTTTTTGTTCGAAACTTACTAAACAAATACTTATGAATTTTCGATGCTTGTAGACACATACTAACTTGATCATCGATAAAATTTTATCAAACAAATCCCTAATACAATCTTTTATATGAAGCATAATACAAGATAAGATATCTTTAGTACTTGGACTAAAGTGGGACAAGAGATCTAGGATTAAAATATTTATCGTCTGTCGAAAAATTTTCCCCACATAGTTCATCTCTTTTAGATGTGACACCACTCAAAAAAATAAGTTAAATCAAATCAATTTCACTAAGTCAAATTGATGATTAAATATGACCTATTTAGATTCATGCTAGGAGAACCCTCGAGATAATATCATAGAAAAATCAAACACATGACGTTCCTTAAGAACATATTGGCAAAGAGCTTACTCTATCAACATTTTATCACGGACTTAGGTGGTTTTCCCTAAGTCGTGCGTCACTCTTGCGTGTCCGTCCGCAAAGGTCAGCCTCCCTAAAGCCTCTCATGGTCCCTTAGGACCTACAAAAGAGAAAACGAGTTAGAGAAAACGTCTCACTCGGGATCCACAAATAAATATTTCCGAAAATACTTTATAGACAATACAAATTACAATCAGACTTTACAAGCTCTGAACAGTTACATAATAAAGGGTCAAAATGGTCCACTACATATCGAATATCTCTCACAAGTATCCATATGACACAACCTTTATTTACAAATCTAAGAAGACCATCAAACCCAACTAAAATGGGGCTTTTAAACCATCGACCATCCCTCTACATGATGTGCAAAGCATGAACAAACCAAAAGACACGGACATATATAAGTATTACATCATGCATGCTGTTTAGAACTTTGTCCGTGACAATTCGTCATATCACTATGATATCGGGGCAAAATGGATTTTAAAAGAAAATCTGATAATATAGTTATATTTGCTGGAATAAGTTTTTCAAATAAAAAAGGAACAAACTCACGATAATACTTCAAATCAAAAAATAGCTCACTACCAAATTTAAAATCATAAAGGGATATAGAAAGTTTACCACCCCAAGGAAATTAAACAAGAATACAAAATTAAAAAATAAGACTCACCACTAAATGAAGCATCCAAAAGATACAGAGTTTACTAAGAGAGCTTTTGCCAATATCATCAGTTTCTAAACCCCTTTCTAATCCCTAAACACTAAAATAAGTACTAATGCATGAAACAACCCTTTATGCATAGGAAATTTTAAAATCAAATGTTTTACAGCTGGTAATCAACTTCTTTAATGCATTCCTTGTGTTAGGATCAAGAGCAGCACTAAGAGAGGGGGGGTGAATTAGTGTAGCGAAAAAAATTATATCGATTCGAGAAACTTCGTACAATACAAATCGGTTTCGACTCAAATCATTTATTTCACTTTGAATAAGTAGAGAAGAAAAGGTTGGGCAGTTTGTAATGTAGAAAATTTAAATGCAATAAAGAGAATTTACAGTAAGGAAAGAACACACCGGAATTTATAGTGCTTTGGTTGTTGTGACCTACATCCACTTCCGATTCCTCCTTTGTTGAGGTCATCGACGTCCACTAATGGTCCTCTTTCAATAGGCGAAGACCAACCACCTCTTTACAGCGCTTTCTCCTTTTTACGGGTTTAGGAGATAACCCTTACAAGTCTCACACCTCTCTTGAATGATCTCAATACTTAGAAATGAAAGAGGAGGACTCTTGCACTTTTACAACACTTTTAACACCCCTAGAATTCAAGATTATATTCACACTTTCATGCCCTTTCATGCAAAAAAGGGTAAGGTATTTATAGGCCCCAATGGCTTCAAAATTGGAGCAAAAAAGTGTCACATCCCTAGATTTCGGGGTACTAGCGGTACCACCGCCATTATTGGACGGTACTACCACCTGCAGACTAACACTAGGCGATACGACCACCTGATAGAGCTCGGAGACCGAGCTTTGACGGTACCACCACTTGACAGGGGTGGTATCACCGCTTGACAACATTAACTGTCGATGGTACCACCCGACCACTTGGGAGACTGTCACTAGGCGGTGCCACCGCCGACTGTGACTTCAGGTGCTGAATGGGCTATTCAATCTGGCCCAATTCAGTCCTATTAAGGGTCCAGTTGGCCTCTAACTGAATTAGTGGGATTATTTTCCAAACCTAACTCAACTTATGGTTTAACTATAATAATTAAGACATTTAACAAAGCATTCTTGTTCCTATTCATTAATTGTTCTTTTGGCGAGCTTCCAACAATCTTCCGATAAACTTCCGACGATCTCTCGGTAATGTTCCGGCGGACTTCTAGCAAGCTCTTGGACTTCACGACGATCTTCTTGGCAAGTTCCGACGAGCTTCTTTGACAAGCTTCTAGACTTCTCGGTTAATTTTTGTGGAACTTCCGATAAACATTCGAACTTCCAACGAAATCTAGATCTTGACTCCAGAACAATATTTGTTTTATATCTTACTGTTAGGATCGGAGCGGCACTAAGAGGGGGGGGTGAATTAGTGCAGCGGATTAAAACTTCGGTTTTAGAAAAATCTTTCGTACGATAAAAACCTGAACTTGAAAAGCTTAATAACTTACAAGCGTTTGGAAGCGTAGTGACTAAGTAAAGTAGTTTGCAGTATGTAAATGGCAAGAATAAAATGCAAACCAGAGAAGACGGTAGTTTATAGTGGTTCGGCCAATCGTGACCTACATCCACTCCTCCGATTCCTCTTCCGTCGAGGCCACCGGCATCCACTAATGATCTTCCTTTACTAGGCGAAGATCAACCTTCTTCTTACACCCCTCTT